ATTAAAATAATCGCGGCTTCATTTAAATTTAAATGGCTGCCCCGATCTGCCGATCAGCTGTTTGTCGGCAGATCGGGGCAGTCTGGACGCAACGCGCCGACAAAGAAGCCTTTCTTCATCGGCACAGGTAAGCCTCGTGAAACTCCTAACCAAATACTGATTTCTCAACTTGAACATTGCTACAGTGCTAATTTTTTGCACTTTAATTTATTTGGTGGGTGTATTAGCGGGGCTTCAGACTGGAGTTGGAGCGTGTTGGGAGCTGGCTTAAAACATAGTACTGTATTATGTGTTCTGGATTTGTGCTGGTGGATTTCGCATTTGTTTACTCCTGTAGACTTTTATTGTTTAACCCTTTTTTACATCTGTCTGTGGAATGGAGCTATGTTACTAATGTGCTTTTCTGCTTACTTCATTCGATTTTAAGAAGCTTTATACAAAAAGAGATTGAAATGGCAACAACTCAAAAATTAATGTATGGCAGTGAGTCATTTGCAGAGATCATAACTGTTTGGCATTTTGATAATTTGTGCAAAAGAAATCAGTTAGTGATAGCCTTGTTGTATCAAGAGCCCTGCAGTTTGTTAAAAACAGATCAGTTTTCTCATTACGTCTTCTCCTGAACTGTAACTATGCTCTTCTTCCCCTTATCACGTAAAAGGGTTAAAGTGTACAATTTTGTCTGTTAAACAGTATGCCTATTTAAATACTTTTTGTATGCAAGTATGAAAGGAAAACAGTATAATCTATTGTATATTTGAGTGGGGCTGGGTGTGTTTTGTCTGTTTGTTCAAGAACTCCTCCTAAATGGTAAGAGCTAGGACCACCACATTCGGTATACAGCTTCCTCTTACCATAACTTAAAGCAGTGTAAGGGTTTGGTTGTGCCAGGAAAATGTGATGTGCCTGGACTGGGATTGCAACTCATAAAACCATGCAGAAAAGACAGAATCACCAGGTAGGTAGAAGGGGCTGGCTGGAGGTGCTGCTCCCCCCCTTCCCACCATCTGGGACTGCTCCAGCTCCGAGCCTCCCACCTCTGTTGACGACTAGCCCTTTTTTTGTTAAAACATAGTATAATAAGAGTTTAGAAGGATGAAGGAAAAGAAAGATACTTGACAGAATTCCCATTTTAAAAAAAACATACTTAAAAAAAAAAGTAAATAGAACATTTTTAACAATCCCTTTTTTAAAGAAATCCAAAATAAACAATTTTATAAAATGTGTTCTTGAAAAATACAAACATTTACACACAGCATGTATATTTTTCCTTTTATCCCGCTCCCCCTCCCCCTTCCCAAAGTTAAGGATAGAGCAACGCTGGGTAAATGTGATAGTACAGGGGTTGGCAACCTTTGGCTCATGAGCCAAATACGGCTCACTAGGGAGCAGGCTTGGACAAAACATTCCAGCCTGCAGATGCAGCAAGGAGCCTCAGGCAAACTCCCTTGCTTGCCCTGCCCCTGCATGCTACTTTGAAAAGTGGCTGCAAGGCTGTTTGTGTTCCGTAAACTGAGCCAGGAGAGGATGGGGGAGTGGTGCCTCATGTCTAGTCCTGCCCCCAGCACGATACCATTGGCTGGCTTCTGACCAATGGAAGCTGCCTGTTTCGCTTTTCTGGACTGTTTCCAATGCCAATGGCAGCTGCCTGCATGAAGCCCTCCCCCCTCCTCCACTCAGGCTCTTATTTCCCCAGCCTGTGCAGGAAAGGAGCTACCTGGGAAATGTGCTGGGGTGTTGGCCAGGGCTCAGCCAGGTGAGTCTCTCAGCCAGAGCCTGCCTCTGGCACCCCAGCCCTTCCCTCCCCCCAGCTCTCTCCTCCTCCACCCCACATAAGCCAAACCCTCTGCCCCTCTCCTAAGCCCATATCCCCTCTGAGACCCTTCACCCCCATCCCTTGTCCCAGATCACTGTAATCTCCTGTCCTAGGTCACAATCCAAATTCTTGCACCCCAGTCCCATGCCTCAGGTCACAACTGACTCCTTCACCCAAACTCAGTGGCCCCTGACCAAAAAAGATTCCCTCCCCCTGCCATAAAGACAATATTGAAACTTTTTGTGTTGGACATAATATTTTATTTAAAAATGAAGCCTGGCCAACAATCTCCCAATTGCAGTCCAACCCCCGTCTGGCCGCAGCGTCATAACACTCTTGCACCCTCTCGCATACGCACATCAACTCTGAGTCCATCATACACCTTGAACCTTCCTGTCCTGAGCACCTCATACCCCCGCATCCGCAGACTCCTGCATTCCCAAATACCCTGCCCCGAGCCTCTCATGCACTCCAATCCTGACTCCTGCACCCCCACATACCCAACCCCCTGCCATAAGATTGACAGAGGACAGCCTGAATGCATGCATGAAGCTGGATTTAACTAGTGTCATTGTAAATATCAAAGAAATGCAGAAAAGATGCAGCAGCAGAAGTCCCATTAAATAAAGTCTGAGAGTATAATGTTTCATTTATGCAATGTCATATGTCAATTATCAATAATACTAAGTTATATATTTTCAGCCATGCAAATGGGCATTCTTATATGGCTCTTTGTTGATCACTTGTTCTGAATTTTGATGTTGTTTGGCTCTTTAGTTTGAAAAGGTTGCCAACCCCTGTGCTAGTAGTACATATAACACTAAATTTACATTTTTAAATAACCCCATCAATTTTAAATTGAAGATTTTGTTTATCTTGATAGGCTCATATTGTTCAGAAGAAAGATTTTTGCTTCAGTTAGGAGTAATGGATAATGTGGCAAGTATCAGAGGGGTAGCCATGTTAGTCTGAATCTGCAAGAACGAGTAGTCCTGTGGCACCTTACAGACTAACAGATTTATTGGAGCATAAGCTTTCATGGGCAAAGACCCACTTCGTCAGATGCATGTAGTGGAAATTTCAGAGGCAGGTATAAATATACAAGCATAAGAGAAGAGTTCCAGTTCCAGTCAAGAGTAAGGCTAGAGATAACGAAGTCAATTCAGTCTACAATTCTGAGGCCCACTTCTAGCAGCTGATGTGGAGGTGTGAACACCAAAGAGAGGAGAAACTGCTTTTGTAGCCATTCCCTAATTAATAAATGGCTAGCCAACTACAAAAGCCGTTTTTCCTCTCTTGGACTATGTCTAGACTGCATCCCTCTGTTGACAGAGGGATGCAAATCAAGCACATCGAAATTGCTAATGAAGAAGGGATTTAAATAGTCTGTGCCTCATTAGCATAAACATGGCTGCCACTTTTTTTCGAAACGGAGTTTTTTCGAAAAAAAGGCAGTCTAGGCATGGATCTGTTGAAAATAAACCCTTTTTTTGACAGATCCTGTATTCCTCAAAAAATGAGGTACTCTTTTCTTAAAGGACTCCTCGTCACTTTAAAGCAGGTGTTCAGACTTCTCAGGGGAGCATTGGGATGCTCTCGGTCTGGAGGCAGGAAGGCATGGTAAGAGGCCAGTCTGTGCAGGAGCCTGCAGGTGGGAGAGGGATGGCAGCAGAGGGCAGCCTTCCATCATGTCTGGTGCATGCTGGGTTGAGTACATGCAGCCTCCCAGGGATACTGCTTCCTTTTCTGCCTACAGGGGAAAGGGTTTGTGTCTGGCACACAGAGCCTCCTGGGGAGAGTGTTAATAGGTTTCCCTCTTTCTCCCTTCAGGTTGCCACACATTGGGTGATTGGGAGCAGATGCTGACTGAGTGTGGCCATAAACCTGGGCCTTATGCCTCAATGTTTTGTGGTTCAATGACGCCAGACCATTTACTCGTGGCTTGACATGGGAAGGTGTCCTGTCATTGAGGAAGGGATAAGGCTGGCCTCCCCAAAAACCTTGTGAGAAGGATCAAACAGTTCCTATCTAAAAGCTTTGTGGATCTGAGCAGACAAGAAGGAGGGTGGGGGGAAGCCTCATCCCCAGGGGTTCTGCCATCCCACCTTCACACAGTCCTACGATGGGGAAGAGGCAGCCTTACAGGGGGGGCTCCGGAGGTGTTTGAGGCGGGGAGGGAGGAAGGATTTGGGGACCTCCCAAGGGCTGAGGAACTCTCTCTTTCTCTGTTTTGTGTATGTCTTGTCTCCTGCAGGTGGTGAGGGCCATCAACTCCCTGCTGTGCAGGGTCACCCACCTGGGAGACCTGAACCCCATTGTGGCTGGATTTGCTGCCCTGGGCTTCCCCAATTGTGAAGGGGCCATAGATGTGAATAACAGTCCTCGGGCCACAGGACAATGATGTCCCATAAGCAAGGTCATATACACCAGGGCAGCCTACACTTAAGTCCGGCACTGGGCATCATTGCAGACCTTCAGAGCCAGGGTCTCCTGCATGCCCCAGAGGATGCCCACGTACTCCCTCATGAGGTACTCCTGGATTCTCCAGTGCTTGCAGCTTCCCCAGGTTCAGATGGCTGCCTTTCCTGACGTTTTTTTGCTGCAGGATGGCTACCTTTAGATCTGCAATTGTGTGTCCAGGAAGATTGAAGTGTTCCCCTACAGGTTTTTGTATGTTGCCATTCCTAATATCAGATTTGTGTCCATTGATTCTTTTACGTAGGGACTGTCCAGTCTGGCTGATGTATATGGCAGAAGGGCATTGTTGACACATGATTGCATATATTACATAGGTAGATGTGCAGGTGAATGAGCGTGTAATGGTGTGGCTGATGTGGTTAGGTCCTGTGATGGTGTCGCTGGTGTAGATATGTGGGCAGAGTTGGCACCGAGGTTTATTGCAGGGATTGGTTCCAGGGTTAGAGTTACTGTGGTGTGCTGTATAGTTGCTGGTGAGAATTTACTTCAGGTTGGTGGGTTGTCTGTGGGCGAGGACTGGCCTACCTTCCAAGGTCTGTGATGATGATGCGTTGGAGAGGTTTTAGCTGGGGACTGTAGGTGATGGCCAGTGGTGTTCTGTTTACTTTGTTGGGCCTGTCTTGTAGCAGGAGGCTTCTGGGTATATATCTGGCTCTGTGGGTATTGTAGTTTCAAGAATGCTTGGTGTAGATCTTGTAGGTGTTTCTCTGTCTGAAGGGTTAGAGCAAATGCGGTTGTACCTTAGTGCTTGGCTGTAAATGATGGATGATGTAGTGTGTCCAGGATGGAAACTAGAGGCATGTAGGTAGGCATAGTGGTACGTAGGTTTTCTGTATACTGTGGTGTTTAGGTGACCATCACTTATTTGCACTGTAGTGTCCAGGAAGTGGATCTCTTGTGTAGACTGGTCCAGGCTGAGGTTGATGGTGGGGTGGAAATTGTTGAAATCATGGTGAAATTCTTCCAGAGACTCCTTCCCGTTGGTCCAGATGATGTAATCAATGTAGCATAAGTAGAGGAGGGGCGTTAGTGGACGAGAACTAACGAAGCATTGTTCCAGGTCAGCCGTAAAAATGTTGGCATATTGTGGGGTCATGCGGGTTCCCATAACTGTGCCACTGGTTTGGAGGTATAAATTGTCCCCAAATCTGAAATAGTTGTGTGTGAGGATAAAGTCACAGAGCTTGGCCTCCAGTTGTGCCATGGCATCATCCGGGATGCTGTTCCTGACCGCTTGTATTCCATCTGTGTGTGGAATGTTGGTGTAGAGAGCCTCCACATCCGTGGTGGCTAGGATACTATTTTCTGGGAGATCACCAATGCATTGTAGCTTTCTCAGGAAGTCCGTGGTGTCTTGGAGATAGCTAGGGGTGCTGTTGGCATTGGGTCTGAGTAGTTTCCACATATCCAGAAAGTCCTGCAGTGAGAGTGCCAATGCCTGAGATGATGGGGCATCCAGGATTTCCAGGTTTATGGGTCTTGGGTAGTAGATAGAATAATCCTGATGGGGGCTCTAGGGGTGTGTCTGTGTAGATTTGTTCCTGTGCTTAGGTAGGGAATGTCTTGAGCAGACAGTGCAGTTTCTTAGTGTATTCTGCAGTGGGATCTGAGGAAAGTGGCCTGTAGAGAGTTGTCTGGTATTGGAGAGTTGTCTGGCAGCCTCCTTTTGGTAGTCTGACCTATTCATGATAACAGCACCTCCTTTGTTAGCCTCTTTGATTATGATGTCAGAATTGTTTCTGAGGCTGTGGATGGCATTGTGTTCTGCATGGCTGAGGTTACAGGGAAAGCGATGCTGTTTTTCCACAATCTGTCATTTCGACACTCAGGAGGAGTCCATGATGATGTGGACTGAATGTCAAAGATGCACTTTCATCTACAATTGAAATTGCATGACTGTCTGCAGGAACTAAAGCTTGGACCTGTTTTGTGGAATGTGAGCAAGATGCCCTTATCTCAGAGTTCAACTAAACTTTTTGTTGTAGTATAGCCAAACTACTCTCACTTTCTGAAATTTATAGTTGGGCTGAGAGAGAGAAATTTTTCAGCCAAAGTGGCTTGGCTTTTTTAGGTGGTCTTGAGCATGTAAAAACATCGTTATAGCTTTAAGTATATTAGGCTTTCCAAATATCTTTTTAAAAATGTATACTTGTTAGCCCTTCATTAGGGCTGTATGGCTCTTAGCAGAGGTAATACACTTTGATATTAGTTTTAAGAGCCAACTTTTTTTTTTTTTTTTACATTGAAAGTTGGAAATTTACAGGGCCGTCAGTTATTTAGGCTTATTCTAAATCGTAAGCATGGCAAGTTCCTTTTTTAACTACTTATGGCACATTTGCCATTGACTTGTATTTGGAAATACATTGATTAGAATTACTGGCTCTGAAGCCTGTACATTCAACAGTAATTGTGTGCTAAACCAATCTCAATAAAACATTCTGTGGTACTTTTATAAAACACTGTCAGTTATAGATTAAGAATCTCAATTTAAACATTTATAACTAAGTATATTAAGGTCTAGTTTATTTATAAGGAGTTTTAATGCCAAAATGTTAAAGAGCCTATTTAATCTCCAATGGCTCATTGATTCCATTGCAATAACTGGGCCAAATGTATGGAAGACCTGCATTCTATAGTCATACACTCTACATCACGATCTAGATAGGTTATTGCTATACAATCTAGGTACCACACTGCATTGTGCTTAGAAAATTAATAAATCCAAGCTGAGGAGCACCAAAGTATGGAGAGAGTTCCTAGGTAGAAGACTCTCACAGTTTTGCGAAGGGACTCGAGCTGTAGTGACGCCATTGCTTTCACTTGAAACACTGTTGTTACAGTGTGTCAGGTAACCAGGCTGTCATTTGTGACTTCAAGGTATTTTCAGTTGTATGGTTGTTGTTTTTTAACTTCATTCAAACTTGTGTCTCTGGAGATGCTAATGTATATGCTTCCTATGGGAAATACTGCAAATCCACCAATATCCAATTTATATCTGTGGGTATCTACATCTGCAGATGTGGATGCAGATTTCTGCAGCTCATTTTTGCAGACACAAATGTGGATGCAAATTTTGTATCTAGAACCTTGCGAATTTTGTAGATATCCATTTTATATCTGCAACTCATATTTGTGGATATAGATGCAACTACAAAATTGTTTATCCGTTCAGGACTCCGTTCATAAGATACATCCCGTGCTAAAGCTACTGAAAGGTATGGCTGTAATTCTATGTAGAACACTCTTAATCTAGTCTGTAGGTGACAAATCATTGGTACTTAAGTCCAGATCTTCATCTACCAGGAACTGATCCAGTCTTCTAGCCAGAGGTGGGTAAAGTTTAGTGGGTCTAGTAAAGACCTGCTAAATCAAATGCTAGGACACTCCCTTCGACTGTGGTACTCCTCACTGTTGCGAGAAGTTGCAGAGAGAGTTTCTCCTGTCGCTCTCCCACTGTGGGCCTCCTCAGAAAATTGATGCAAGTACTCTGACTCCAGTTACGCAATTCATGTAGCTGAATTTGCATATCTTGCATCAATTTTTCCCTGCCTGTGTAGACCTGGCCTGAGTAGCCTTGAACTGTTAGTTTGGTGTCGGAGGAACTATTGTGACCATCTAGTCTGATCTCCTGCATAATATGGCATCGAGTCCATAGCTTCTGGTATAACCAGTACACACTGACAAACAGTGGAATGAAAGGATAGAAATTGTAACCTAGAAGGTGGCAAAGTATGAAAAGGAGAGCCAGAATTTGGATTTCTTTTAAACAGTTAACTTCACAGCATAATCAGGAATGCTACACTTCAGGAAGGAAAAATTAGTACCTGCTTCACTTCCTTGATCTACCCATTGGCTCATTGCCCAATGTTACCTGAAGACTTTTCTAAGCCCTAACTTCAAAGTCTGGTGTAGTACCATAGAGAGAAAGTGGAAGAAGTAAGGAGGTGGGATGCAATGAGTAACTGATTAAACTAGACCACTGCACCTGCTACTGTCAAAGCACAGCTTCAGTTCTGACTGACTTGAGTCTTTCATTGTCTTTCCATGTGACAAAATTAATCCTAGCACATGTTTGAAGTAGAATTAAAGTCTTTTTACTTTTCCAGGTGTTGACTTCAAGGTAAAAACGATTTCAGTTGATGGAAATAAAGCCAAGCTGGCAATATGGGTAAGTCCTGAATATAATAAAATACCTGAGCTTGGCATAGTTTATTCCTTTGTACTAGTGGTGGTGGGTTTTGTGGAAATATGCAGTTGAAAGGATTTGCCATATTAACAAACTTTGTCAGTGTTAGTAGTGCAGTTTGTTTTTATAGGGTTGTTAATTCTATCAGTAATATTTTTATTTTCCCTTTTCAGGTTAGGTGACAGTTACCATATTAGCTCTGGTATCTGAAAGTAGCAGATGGGATTCTTCTGTAGAATTCGTTTATGGGAAGAGACTTTACTGTTATCAAAAACAAAATTTAAAAGCCAACAAGTATATGGGAGAATATGGAGTTGGATTAGAAGAAAATGTCCTTAATTTGAGTACAGATAAATATAACCTGTGCATCTTACAAACGTCTACTTGAGTAGACGGAATCAGAGACTATAGACTTTGAGCTTTATAACCTAAGTATATTAAATTAGGTATAAAGCGTCTCAATATTTACAATCCTAAAAGAAAAATCTTCTCAACTAAGACTTAGTATTTGTATGGAAAACAGGTATTGCATAAATTACAAAACTTGAGAATTGTCACAGTTGTGCTTGTTTAAAGTTGCATTTAAGATACTAATGTAAAATAAAGTGACACACACAAGGAAAAACCCAGGTAAACTAAAATATGTTTGCCTGCTAAGGTATGAGTTCAGGATTGATTCATAGTAGTTAAAATAGATCTGGGAGCTCCATATCCTGCATAACTCAGTTTAAGTGCTTGTGATGACCTTGACTGTTGATGGAAAACCTCAAGCGAACTATGGAAATTGAGGGAGAGAAAATAACTCTTAATGATATATTTGCTTTCTAATCTGTATGCAAGGATCATGTTCCCATGGTCACAGAATCCACCTTATGCAATGGAACAAGTGCTGGAATTCCAGGTCTGCCAATTGCTGTGTGATGGCTGGCTGCTTGGAACTCTCGCTGCTGAGCAGAGTGGAGAAATTCTGCTCATGTCTGATCTGTCTAAGGGGAAAAAGCTGAGTACAGAAGGGAGCAAAATACAGATTTGGGGTAATTCCCTTGCGACATCAAGAGTGCTTCATACCTCAAGTACCAAATTGTAGGCCTTTAGCTAGGCATTGACAGTCAGATATAGAAGCATATTGTCACTCAAGCAAAGCAGAGTGGGTCTGATGGCAGAGAAAATGGACACAGCCTTGTGAGGGCCTCATAAACCTATGAGAAGGCATAGAAACCACTGGAACATTTCCCCTCTGTGGTAGGAGTCACAGAGCAACAGAACTCTTTCCTGGGAGGAAGAAAATGAGCCACATAGAATACCTGCATACTTTTTCCTGAAGAGACAGGGTGAATTAATCCATCCTTTTTTCAAAGAGAAAAATAACTTCTGTTCATCTTATTCCCTGCATCTCAAAAACACAAACCTGAGTTATAAAACAGTTGGCTTTCCCCTTCACCACTGTAGCCACTCATGGTCCATGCTAAACTCAGGGAAGTAGCATAAAACATGTTAATCAAGTGCTAGGAAGATGACTGCTTTCTGTATATCTACATGTGGTGATAAGATCTCAGTGGTATCTGGTAGGAAAACTAGCTACTGGAGAGGCCATAGTTCTTCATTTCTGTGGTTCAAGTGACCTGAAGGAGCAGTACTATTGCAGCCTGTACAATGGATAACTGGTCCCTAGGGGCACGTCTAAACTACATTTTTGTTGTAGATACAAAATTTGTATCTGAGGCTATGTCTAGACTACATAGAATTTTTGAAAGAGGATATGCACATCTCCGATCTCACATTTGAAGGAGAATCTTTCGAAAGTGAAAGTAGTCTGGACGTGGCTTGTTTCCGAAAACTTGTTTCCTCTTTCAAAATTAAAACATAGTCTAGACGTGCTCTGAGTGTGAACTGGTGAGAGGGGTTTGCAAAGGAATCCTATGTTCTGGCTCTCGTTTGTGACCGGAAGTAGTGGATGGGGGGCGGGTAATAGACTTCTCTTCACCAAGCTGTTCTGCACTTTGGGGAGATACTCGGTACCTATCTGCTAAAAGTTTGGAAGCTGCATCATGGAGCCTTAAGTGTGGGGTGCGAAGTGGGAGGGAATTGGGAGAATCTGAAGATTTGGACAAAAACCCTGCAAATCTCCCTGGTAATAAATGTGGGAACTAAGGGAAAATTAAAGCCTGGTACAGCGGGACTGCTTCAGCTCATTTTTTTTCTTCTTCCCCTTTTCAGGGTCTGAACATAATCTTCCACGTAGCCTTGGCACTCCTAAAGGTAAGAAATTAATTTTAACCCTTTTGTTTTTATAAAGCAATATCGAATATTCACTGAATCACAGGTTTGCTTAATTGAAGATGTCAAATCATCTGATAACACCACCTTGAAAGGCAATAGTGGTTGGTCTCTCAGAGTTAACATGGAGGAAAACAAATATATTGTAAAGGGTCAGGTTGGGGGAGAGTGGTCCTTAAAAATGTGAGCTTTGTTGTTTGTATTAACAAGGGCATCATTTATGAAGACTAGGGAATAGTAACACCCAGCCAAAGTTTGAACCCCTGGATTTCATACTTGAGGTCTGCCTAAAGCCCATGCCCTTAACTGCAACAGAGTTTGAGTTGCTTGCAGCTTTGCCTTTGGGGAGGGAGTTTGTTATAAAAAGAGGGAGGCAGGTGATTAAGAATAACAAAGGCTGGGCATTCAAGTAATTGAAGGATCATTAGATCATCATGAAAACATTGCCAGGTACTCCAACTAAAAAATATGGGTAAAAAAGAATAGGAATGAGTATTGTGCTGCTGGGATTTGCATTTGGACCACTGCTGTTAAACCTATAAATGTTCTTGAAAAAGGGGGTAAACAGTGACTAATCCAAAGCTGACTGCAAAGAGTTATAGAGGGATCTCACAAAACCAGGTGATTGGGCAACAGAAGGGCAGATGGAATTTGGTGTTGATAAATGCCGAGTAATGCACATGGAAAAATATAATCCTAGCTATAGATACAAAAATGACAGGGTCTAAAATAGCTGTTACCAGTCAAGAAAGAGATTTTAGAATCCTTGTGGATAGTTCCCTGCAAACATCTGTTCAATATGCAGTGGCAGTCTAAAAACTAAAAAGCTAACAGAATATTGGCAGTTGTTAGGAAATCAATAGATAGTAAGACAAAATACCATATTGCCTCTATATAAAGTCATTGTATGCCCACATCTTGAATGCTGTATGCAGATCTGGTCACCCCATCTAAAAAAGATTATTGTATTTGGAAAAGGTACAGAAAGCGCAAGAGAAATGATTACGGGGTAAAGAACAGCTTCCATATGAGGAGTGATTAACAAGACTTGGGCTTTTCATCTTAGAAAAGAAATGACTAACGGGTGAGGGGATATGTTACAGGTCTAGAAAATCATGAATGGTGTGGAAAAATAGAATAAGGAAATGTTATCCATTCCTTCACTAACATTACACAAGACGCTGACCCAATTACATTTCTGGGCAGCAAATTTACAACAAACAAAATAGTGACAGACAATGGATCATGATGATTGCTTTTTCTGCTTTGTCCTTCTGAAACACCTGGCACTGGCCACTGTTGGAAGACAGAATACAGGGCTTGATGGACCATTGGTCTGACCCAGTACGGCTGTTCTTATGTTCTTGTTCACTCATATGGAGCCTGAATATTTAGGATCTATGGTGGTGGAGTGAATTTTGTACCAGAATGATAAATGTTGCTGTTATCTTATGTCTGGTCTTTTGGAGGTGGATTATGTGCCTTCCTTAAGTTTCATTTACTTTTTATTTGTAAGCAATTTGCTTCTAAACTGACAGTTTACATGAATGAGCTTCTCTGTCTTTGCATGCGTGCATACTGTTGTGATCTGGGGTGCTTGTATAGTTCACTGTACTTTCACGGATCTACAGCAAAACATATGTAGTCAGCATTTTGATACTTGGTCTCTACAGACCCATTTGATTTCATGAGCTACTTCAATTTAAGGAACATGATCAGTTTTTTGGTACTTATGCTGAAGCTTGGTTTGCTGTAATTCATGATTAAACATGTTTTCTGTGGTTTGAAGCCAATTCTAAATACTGGGCAGTGAAAAACTGTGCATCTTGTCTTATCATGAGACTTTGCTGTGTTTTGCAAACCTAAAGTGTTCACTTAAAAACAAGTGAAACTGTTGCACTGGCATCTGCACTAGCTGTAAAGCAGCAGAAGTCTCAGTGTAAATGTGAGTGATATTGTGTGTGTGTGTGTGTGTGTACACATACACAATCACTGATACTTTATGTATATAAATAAATCTCATCAGTGTGACTTATTTTACTTAAATGCTTAGACTTTAAAAACCCACTTTTTAAAGCAAAAGTGTATTAACTCTGCATCTAATCTTAAATTGTATATCATCTAAAGTTAAGTAAACTTGATTTATTTAGTGATACAATATTCCTTGATATTTTGTGTGTGTGTGTTCATTTAATCTTGCAGGTGCTGTATTTTCAGTAGCACATAGAGTAGATTATTTTGTGCAAATACAGTAATGGAAAATGTTCTGAATATTTTTAGGACACTGCAGGTCCAGCTACTATAGAGGAGCACAAGGCGTTATCCTAGGTAAGTGTGCTACTCAATGTGCCATTTTAAAACCTTAGATTTTTTTCCCTAGTTTTACAAATAAATTAAGGACAAACTAATTCTTTGGGTGCATTTGGCTGTTTAATACTGAAATTCTTGGTCTCTAGTTATAAGTATGCTCCCAGTTTTAAATGGCTTGAGCATCTTTCTGTCATCTTTCTTGTAGAAATCAATCGCTGCTTGTTTACACAGTCCTGACTAGGGATGTGTAAAATATTGTGTTTTAATTACCCCATGTAAAACTCTGATGGCACATATTAAAAGATACCTAAAAATACACACTTCCCTCCTAATGAGGACCAACAGTGCCACTGAGTGGTGTTTTTTTGTTGGTTTTTTTTTTTAAATCACATCCCCAGTGTGATAAAAGATTAGGGTTTATATTGAGATGCCTATGCATCAAATAGAAGGAAAGGACAACTGGCAAAAAAACCCTACTTCTGGCATCTGCACACTGAATTTAACTGTTTTGATTTTGAGTATTTGCCTACTGTGTATTGGAAGGCTCCTAACTAGACACTTGGCACTCCGCCTGTTTAACTACTGCTAGAGTTGAGTGGTAGATGAGACATCCAGGGGCAAAAATAATTTTGGTGCTTTGTATTTAAGGCTACAATCACTTTGGCTCTAAGTGGGTTCTCAGTAAGCCTCACTTGTGTACTACTATATATGCAATAACTTGAGTCAGGTTGATTATATAGACAGATATTCAAAATCTGATTTTTTTTTTTGAGAGAGATATCTGAGAATTTATTGCAACTACTAAATTATTTGGAAACTTCTTCAAAATAACATGCTAAATCAGGTCAGTGACCATTGATGATATTTTTCAGTTTATGATGTCACAAGAAGAGACACCTTTGTCAAACTGGACAATTGGCTAAATGAATTGGAGACATACTGTACAAGGAATGACATAGTTAAAATGTTAGTTGGAAACAAGATTGATAAGGTAAGCAGATTTGAAAAATTACCTTCAATGGCTTATATTTATGTGTCTATCACAAGATATAAAAATTGCCATACTGGGTCAGACTAAAGATCTGTCTTGCCCAGTATCCTGTTTTCTGACCGTGGCCAATGCCAGGTACCCCAGAGGGAGTCAACAGAACAGGTAAGCATTAAGTGATCCCTCTCCTGTCATCCATTTCCAGCCCTGACGGACAGAGGCTAGGGACACCATTCCTAACCATTGTGACTAATAAGGATTGATGGACCTAACCTCCGTGAATTTATCTAGTTCTTTTCTGAACCCTGTTAAAGTCCTGGTCTTCACAACATCCTCTGGCATGGAGTTCCACAGACTGACTACATGCTGTGTGAAGAAGAACTTTCTTTTATTAGTTTTAAACCTGCTACCTATTAATTTCATTTGGTGATTCCTAGTTCTTGTGTTATATGAACAAGCAAATAACTTTTCACTATTCAGTTTCTCCATACCTGTCATAATTTTATAGACCTCTATCAAATCCTCCCTTCGTCTCCCCTTTTCTAAGATGAAGTCCCTGTCTTTTTAATCTGTCTTTGTATGGGACCTGTTCGAAACCCCTAATCATTTTTGTTGCCCTTTTCTAAACATTTTCCAATGCCAATATATCTCTTTTTGAGATGAGGCAACCACATCTGTACACAGTATTCAGATGTGGGCCTACCATGGTTTTATATAGAGGCAATAATGTATTTTCTGTCTTATTCGCTATTCCTTTTTAAATGATTCCTAACATTCTATTTGCTTTTTTGACTACCGCTTCAGATTTGGGTGGATGTTTTCAGAGAACTATTCACAATGACGCCAAGATCTCTGAGTGGTTGTAACTAAATTAGTCCCCATCGTATTGTATGCATAGTTGGGATTATTTTTTCCAATGTGCGTTACTTTGCATTTATCAACATTAAAATTCATTTGCCATTTTGTTACCCAATCACCTATGCAGCGTATATAATATCTGTTTCTTCTTGCAGGAAAACCGGGTGGTTGACAGGAATGAAGGTCTCAAATTTGCAAGAAAACATTCCATGTTGTTCATAGGTATGCCCTTGAAGATATATGTAAAGTCTACGTGATACTTTGAATTGAAACTATATAACAAAAAACCTGGATTCCATTTTTGCAGAATTGCTGAAATTACAATTATACTGTTATACTGTGTCAGCTAAATAGTCTACTAGTACCTTTCAACTATATTGCTTAAGTGCTTTACAAAATTAATGTATACATCATCATCTTCAAAATAGGTATTCCCATCTTGTTTAGATGGGTCTTAAAATGTATCTAGTCAAATTTTTAGACTCTCAGCAGATGAGTGAACTAGGCACAGTCTAAAGCTGAAATACTGGCCTCATTGGAGTCCCTGGAAGTCCTACCATTGGCTTGAATGGAGCCAGGATTCCACCCTCTGTGATATGCCAAAAACAACACATTGAATTGCTGGCACAATCAAAATCAGAGAACACTCTAAATAACTGGCCAGCCCATAGCATATCAAAAAGATAGGTATAGGCTACCAATATATATATATTTTTTAAAGTTTGTGTTTAAATGCGTTGATCTGTAAATGAGTAATGGATTGGAATGAGATCTGCAAGTTTGCTAATTAAGGTATTTGGGTATGTCTACACTTGCACCCTCTTTCGATAGAGAGATGCAAATGAAGACATTCGAAATTGCAAATGAAGCTGGGATTTAAATATCCCACGCTTCATTTGCATAATCGTGTTATGGAGCCATTTTGAAATAGCGCTATTTCAAAATACAAAATGCAATTTCAAAATAGCACCATAACGCGATTATGCAAACGAAGTGCAGGATATTTAAATCCCGGCTTCACTTGCAATTTTGAATGTCTTCATTTGCATCCCTCTATCGAAAGAGGGTGCAAGTGTAAACATACCCTTAGAGACTGGAGAAACTATTGCACTTCAGGAGGCCCTGGCAAAGCTTAGTTGTATGGGCAGCATAAGGGCAGGGCAGACCAGCTAGCATTGACATATACAAAGTAGCAGATTGAAAGGAATAACTTCTTCAGAGGTGACCAGAAAATCAAATCATTAAGCAAGGGTGGAGTGATATGCTTTTATCTGATTGTGCACTGTGTTGAGCTCTAGTCACACACTCAAAAGGCATGTTTACACTACCTGCTGGACTGACAAGCAGTGGTTGATAAAGCAGGGGGTCGATTATCACATCTAATATAGATGTGATAAATCGACCAAAGTGCTCTCCCATGGACTTCAATTAGGCATGAGAACAAGAAGCATTAGAGGCGGTTAAGTAGACCAAAGTATGTCAACTTTAGCTATTCTGTTCACATAGCTGAACTTGGGTAACTTTGATGGATGGTCCATGGCACTGTAGAGTAGGCCAAAGATATTGCAGAAATAGAGCACAGGAAATGGTACACAAACTGTTGTAATCCTAGAAGCATGGTAGAATCATGGGGCTGTCTGAAGGGGACATGGGATGGAGAAGGCAAATCAGATGTGAATCTGCCCTCAGTACACAAACAAGGGAACACTTAATGAAATTGAAAGGTACCAAATTGAAAAATGGAGACGTACATGATACAACACATAATAAGAACATAAGAATGGCCGTACTGGGTCAGACCAATGATCCATCTAGCCCAGTAGCCTTTCTGCCGACAGTGGCCAGCACCAAGTGCCCCAGAGGTGGTGGACCGAAGACAATGATCAAGCAATATGTCACGTGCCATCCATCTCCAGCCTCTGACAGACAGAGGCCAGGGACATCATTTCTATACCCAGGCCTTTTATGGACCTAACCTCCATGAAATTATCTAGCTTATCTTTAAACTCTATTATAGTCCTAGCCTTCACAGCCTCCTCTGGCAAGGAATTCCACAGACTGACTACATGCTATGTGAAGAAGAACTTTCTTTTATTAGTTTTAAACCTGCTACCCATTAATTTCATTTGGTGTCCTCTAGTTCTTCTGTTATGGGAACTAATAAATAACTTTTCTTTATTCACCCTTTCCACACCACTCATGATTTTATATACCTCTATCATATCCCCCTTCAGTTTCCTCTTTTCTAAACTGAAAAATTCCAGTCGCTTTAGCCTCTCATCATATGGGACCCGTTCCAAACCCCTAATCATTTTAGATGCCCTTTTCTGAACCCTTTCCAAGGCCAAAATATCTTTTTTGAAGTGAGGCGACCACATCTGTACACAGTATTCAAGATGTGGGCGTACCATAGTTTTATACAGGGGCAGTAAGATATTCTGGGTCTTATTTTCTATCCCTTTCTTAATATTTCCCCACATCCTATTTGCCTTTTTGACTGCTGCTGCACACTGTGTGGAAGTTTTCAGAGGATTATCCATGATCTTTCCTGACTTGTCATAGCCAAATTAGCCTCCATCATACTGTACATATAGTTGTTGGGGTTATTTTTTCCAATGTGCATTACGTTACACTTATCCACATTAAATTTCATTTGCCATTTTGTTGCCCAATCACTCAGTTTGGTGAGATGTTTTTGAAGTTCTTCACAGTTTGCTTCTGTCTTGACTATCTTAAACAGTGTAATATCATCCTCAAACTTTACCACATCAGTGCTTACCCCTTTCTGCAGATCATTTATGAATAAGTTGAACAGGATTGGTACCAGGACTGACCCTGGACGGACACCACTAGTTACCCTTCTCCATTCTGAAAATTTACCATTTGTTCCTACCCTTTGTTTCGTGTCTTTTAACCAGTTCTCAATCCATGAAAGGACCTTCCCTCTTATCCCATGACCATGTAATTTACACAAGAGCCTTTGGTGAGGGACCTTGTCAAAGGCTTTCTGAAAATCTAAGTATACTGTATCTACTGGATCCCCCCTTTCTGCATGTTTGTTAACCCCTTCAAAGAACTCTAATAGATTAGTAAGACATGATTTGTCTTTACAGAAATCCTGTTGACTTTTGTCCAACAAATTATGTTCTTCTATATGCCTGACAATTTTATTCTTTACTATTGTTTCAACTAATTTGCCTGGTACTGAAGTTAGACTTACCAGTCTGTAATTGCCAGGATCACCTCTAGAGCCCTTTTTAAATATTGGTGTCACGTTAGCTACCTTCCAGTGATTAGGTACAGAAGCCGATTTAAAGGATAGATTACAAACCACAGATAATAGTTCAGCAATTTCCCATTTGAGTTTTTAAAATATGCAGGACCTGTTGCTAAAGGCTGTCAGAAATCAAGATCTTAAGTTGTTGAGAGTATTGATTTCGAAAAGATATATTTTAATTTCCTATAGAAACTCCCTTTATTGAAATGCAAAAATCAACTGGTATCCCATGTGGCTCAGAAGAAACTTAACCTATAGGCACGTTACTCCAGAATTGTTCAGTATGGAGTGTCTCCAAGGTACTGGCCACAGTCAATACACTGAAATAGATTGAGCTCTAAACTGATTAGCATCTAGAAACTGCCTAACTTCAACTACAGTCACTCTTTTCTTCAGGCTGTCTGCTTCCAGTGCACCCATCACCTTAGTACCTAAATGCTATGATGAAATCAAAGGCTGTTTTAAGTTCCTAATATTGTTCTCTGTTCCACTTCCCCATATTAAGAGACTCCTGTAAGTTGCATTCAACTTGTTGATGTCCAATAGAAATATCACTGACTGTGGCTATTCTGACTGGGCCATATATCCTTCTATCTCAGTGCCACTAACTAATTAAAAAACTTGCCTCATATCAGTATGAGGCAGTGCTGTAAAGTATAATAGACCCTTTAAATTCAAACATGCCAACTGTAATTATTCTAACTTTTCACACAGTGTATCAAAACTCATATCTGACTGTAGAGTGTAAAAGTCAGCCTCTTGTCCTAAACACTAGGACTTTCTGTATATCTGTGCGTACTTTCCCTTTTAATAAAACTGTAGTATAGCATATCAGTATGAGGCAGTGCTGTAAAGTATAATAGACCCTTTAAATTCAAACATGCCAACTGTAATTATTCTAACTTTTCACACAGTGTATCAAAACTCATATCTGACTGTAGAGTGTAAAAGTCAGCCTCTTGTCCTAAACACTAGGACTTTCTGTATATCTGTGCGTACTTTCCCTTTTAATAAAACTGTAGTATAG